AAACCTTAGAACTTGCGAGTGATAGAAAACAGACCACAATGTCTTAAATAAGATAAAGTATTTGCTTGACCTTTGTATGCTTTTATGACTGATCAGAGCTGTAAAGATATGTGTATTTGAAAATCATTAAAAGCTGCTCTGGGAACTTATTTTTTTCAAACCCAGAAAACGTTTAGAGTTGTTTTCTATAAATTTATTTTCATCTCGGTGATGTATATCTGCAATAGCTTTTTGTAGTCACTATGATACTTCTAAGTTACCTGCAACATAAAAAATATTCTTACATTAATAAAGAAAACAACAACTGAGCAAAGGCAGGGGGATGGTGCATGTTATTAAGGAACACCAGGTGGTTTTCAAGCTTAAATATTATTGTTGTTTTAAGGAGAAGTTTAGAGTTATGCTTCTGAGTTTGAGCCATTTCTTCCTGAGTCACCTGCAGAACTGTGTGCAGTAGCATCTGTACCGTGACTCGTTCTCCAAAATGGGGTCTTTCAAAGCCAGCCAACTCTAGGCAAATTCCAATAGCTAAGTATAGGGGAGAGAAGTGAGGGAGGGGGAGAGAGAGAGGCTTGTGTTAGTGTCGCCTGAAAGACGACCTTGCTCTTGAACAAAACATTTCCTTTTTTTAATCTTTCAAGTTTGTATTGACTCTTCACAGCTGCCACACGTGATAATAATTTTTCATTAATTAGGTTTTTTAGAAAGGCATGAAATATTTGTGTTTCTCATTGCTTATACTTTTTTTAATATCCTGATGTCCTTGGCTTTCTTTACTGTTGTTTTTCTTTCTGCCGTGGTGTTACTGATATTTCAGTCCTAGCCTGTATTGCTTACTTTTTTCTTCCTATTTTCCCTGCCAGAAAGTCAGTTACCTCTTCTCATGGTGTGTGTCCTGCTAGGTGTTCATCTCTGAACACTTATACTTCTGCACTTCTCTATAATGCTAAGCCAACTTTCAGTAAAGCTTTTACAATTCTTTGACAAGTACCACTCTGCTGCAGGCCTAGCAACAATTCTTACAAAGGGTAATTTCTAACTGAAACTTACAAAAATTACATTAACTTTCATTTAAATTTCACTTTAGAAAAACCACAGAGAGGCTGAAAAACAGATGAACATCTGCACAAGGCCAAACAAAGAACATAACAGTGGAAGGGATCTCTGGGTCATCAAGTCCAGTGCTCTGCTAGCCTGGGAATTGCATCAGATAATTCTCTTCATAAACTTTGCCAATACTAAATTGGAGTTGTTATTTCTTTGCCCCCAGTGTTTCCGCCGAAGGCTGTTCCAGAGTTTGATTTATTTTAATGGCTAGAGACTCTGTAGTAACTTGCAATCTGCATTTTTTCAGCAACAGCTTATATCCATTTGTCCTCTTGCCTATGCTGGCCATTAACTTAAGGAGAGGGTTTTTTTTAAATCTATGTTTTTCTATTTATACAGAATTAAAAAAAAAGTAAGATTCAAAATGACTTTTTAAAATAAGTCATGCTAACAGGAATTGAGATTTTCTTGAGTAAGCTGATGTTGGCTGAAGAAATACTACTACTTTTAAAAAGGAAATGCCAAAAGCTTTTGTCCAAGGCAATATTATTATTAGAATTTTTATATTATTTTTCAGGTTTTTTATTCTCTGAAGTATTTGGTGACATTCATACTAACTTGTAGGAATTATTTTAGTTTGGTTTTGGGTACTCGTTTTTCTACTTTATTCTCAGTTGAGACATAAACGTCTTTCATGTAGAATTTGGTATAGGATAGAAATTGGGGATGTAAAAATATTTTAAAAGCCTCCTGTATAGCAAATCTAAATTGCTAAATAAAATGTTATCTATCCAAGTTATATTCTATTTATATTTTACAAGGGCACTACTTGTGATAGATTTGTAATATTCAGATCTTTACATGGTTTTTCCTCTTACTTGTTAAAATCCCATTGTGCATAAAAAGCAATGCATTCTGATTGGAGACACATAATTTGAGATTTGTAAATTGTTATGCATATTCAGTACTATTTGCTGTATTATTATGTGCTTTTCACAATTTTAAGCAATTATGTACCCCCAGAATTAGGGCTAGTTCTCACATAAAAAATATTTGACACCCTCACTGAGAGGTGATATGAAATCCGAAGAATGTCTTGGGTCCTTGAGTGGCACTTTTCTGAAGATACTCTGTCTGTGCATCTCTCCATAAAGTTTAGTGAGGGACAGCACATGAGCTCTCCAATAACTATGTCACATTAAAAATGTTGTAACATTAGCAATGTTAAACAGAAAGAAAAGAGACCGCAGAGTTCAGTGGAAATAGAGCTTGTGTATTCTTGAATGGCTCAGAACTAAATGGCCTATTATAAATGGCATGTGCTCGTTTTTCTGTTCCCAGTTCTAGATCATGTCACAGCTGTTCTAATGTGTCTTAACATATCCCTGAAGGAGAAACAAATGTATGTGATTTAAATCTCTGAGGCCACATCTCACATGCAGTTTTGTATTTGGTGTGCATGTGATTCATCACTGGGTTCCTCTCTGTATTTTAAGCCATATGACACAAGTTCCTTAAGCAGCAAGACAGCGTACTGTAAGCTCCCTTTTCTTCTTCTGGAGGCCGTGCCTCAGTAATTCTTCTGTTCATTTCAGAAATGTAGTATTGCTGTAATTCATTGCATAATTTTTGTTTAAAATTATATAAATTATATCGGAAATGGAAACATGATTTTTAGCAAACTGGGAAAAGTAAGACTTTGGTGTGTAGTTAGAACTGTGATAGCTGATTTTAGCTGAGAATTTGACTTATGGGCTTTCAGTATATAGCCTTTTGTGTGGAACTCACTTGTTAATTACAAAATGTTATATACATATATTAATTTAAAATTTCTTTCTTTATGTACAGAAACTATGGAAAAAGACTATTAAGACTGAATAGTCATACACTGAAAGTTTATTAGTTTATATGTGTCAGAATTGCAGTTATATCAAATGCTCAAATATCGTATCCAATACCAGACATTTCTCACAGACCAGGAAGAATGATTTTTGAGTAATACTCAATTTAATACAGACAGAGTATTGCTTGTGAGTAATTGATGATATTAAAATCAACAACAAAACAGTAATATACTCTAAAGATTAGCTTAATAAGGATGGTAACTCACCAAACTCAAAGCTAAAGAGTGCCTTTTCTACTATAAGATTTTTGACTGCCTTTAAGATGTGAATTGAATTAAAATGCATTTGTTTCATTGCTCCTCTACTGTAAACTTAAGTGTAGCTGAGCTTCAGTGTTCATGCTAATTCTCGTTAGCTGGTTCATTGGAAGGAGGTAAATCTCTGTATCTGTATAAAAACGGTAATAGAAGTAAACCTACTATGTTGTGTTGTGGTTTTTGCCATTTTATACATAAGGCAAAAATTCTGTCCTCGTTAAAGTGAACAGTAAGATTTCAGCTAACTCAGCAGAGCCAGGATTTTATCCCTAGGTAGTTCCTTTGGTAAGGCTGGAGAGGTATAGTAAGCTAAAATCTTTTCAGAAAAAACCCACACAGAAATAGAGAAAAATGCTGAACAGGCACACGTGAGATTTGTCTGTGTCAGTTTCAAAATGTTAATGTAGCACCACATGCTTCAGAGAAGTTATAAAAAACTAAAATTTACAGTCAAAAATTCTAAGGAAAGCCTCTTCTCCTCAGTCTAACACTATACCATTCATTGTTTTCTATTAGCAAGTCCATTCTTATGTGCTTCCTTTTGAAGTAAAAAGTTCTAATCCTGTCAGTGTCTTTTCATGAAAGGGAAAAGGTCACCAAGATAGCATTGGAAAGAGAAAATTCTTATATTTATGTAGATTGTTTCATTTAAATACTCTTTTAATACTTTAATAACCAAGATTACTTTAAAGATATGCTTAAATTGATCAGATGCTGATGATGTGAGATTCAGAAGACCAAACTTCAACAAGGTCTTGAATATCCTCAGTTTGAAAATGATAATACAGACTATGTTGTTCAGCTACTTTATCTAAAGCATTCACATAAAAGTTCAGAAGAGGTTTAAGAGAATGAATACTTGAATATATCACAAAGTAACTGGGAAAGAAATCAGATTAAAGCCAGAAAGAGAAAAACCCCTGAAAATGTGCATATGAAATTGAAAACAACTGTAATTTCTATACAATCAGCATGAAATTCCAAACAATTTTATATGGTTCCATGGTCAGTGTATCGAATGTAGTTTAAAATTCCTGTAGGGAATGAAGTTTCCTACAGAGCTGAAATTCTGTCCAGTGTACGTAAAAGACACTCAGCTGAGATGGGCTATAGTTTCTCCTTAGAGAGGATGACTATAAATGCTGGCAGCAGTCTTTTTAACCACTTGGTGCTAATTAGATAACAGACAGTTGATATAAAATTCAGTAGAAAAAAACCCAAAGAACAAAACAACCCTGTAGGTCGACACAGCAGTTTTAGTGGGTGAAATATATACCAGTTTTTGGAGACAGTTTACATAATAAATGAGGTGAGTTTCCTGGCATTCTGGTCTGGAATGACAGTTGCTCAGTACTTTACAAGTAGAGACTTTTGTCTGGA